GCAGTTTTGACATTTAAAACGAAATGAAGACCTTTGCAAGTGTGTGTGTGTAGGGGGGGGGGTGGGGATGGGGGTTGTTTTGGTTTGTTTCTGCAGAGTATTTTATAATATGTACAGAATTGTTAATTTTTTAAAAAAAATAGAAACGTTCCTCCAAAAAAAAAAATGACAGGAAAGTTAAGTTGCTTTATTTCCATTTGACCCATGCCAGGCAGGTAGGTTGGACAGGTGGTAGACAGGTTGGGGTTGAGACTAAATAAGAATCAGAATAAGACTGGACAAAAAAAAAATGAAGAATGCAACATTCAGAATGGTATCAAGCATCTTCCTTTCCTCTCCTTTCCTTCCTGACTTATTTACTGGCTGACTTACCTCTTTGCATATGGGAAGAATTGCAGTCTGTGCTGTTGTCTGGAGAGGTTTCAGCCAAAAGAGTAGCAGAAGCAGCACATACAGGACCAGGCGAGGAGAGGACGAGGAGCTCCTATTCATGGCTCAGTCAGATGGAGAGATAAACGCAACTGAGCCACATACAGGAGCAGGCAGGGCTGAGCACTTGTCTGAGTCTGTCTGTCTGTCTGTCTTGTGTCAGTCTGTGTCTGTGTCTATCTGCAGCCTCTTCTCTCTGGGAGGGAGCAGAGCTGCTGGCTGGCTGGATGCTTCAAACAAATCCCCAAACCCTCCCTCCCTCTCTCCCTCCCTCCCTTCCCAAACAGAGAGCAAGAAAATGAGCTCAGCACCACCTTGTCACAGCATCACTGCTCTCTCAACCCATCCTTGCTCCTCCTCTGTCCAGTCTACTGCATTGGCCATGCATTGCTCCCACCTCCTTCATCCCAGCACATCAAATCACTGGGAACTTCATTGGAGTGGGTGGTGGGGATGGGGGGGTCCAGTTTTAGACCCCCAAATGCTGGCAAGCAGAGAGCAATGGTAAAATGCTTTGCATCCTTGAGACTAGCTGGGCTCCCCAATTTCTATGCCACACACACACACACACACACACAAACTGCTCAGGTTCCAGCCAGCCATCACAAACTGGTCACTTTTTTTTTTGAAAAGTCCTCAATTCCAACCTAAACAACTGCTGGTGCCATAGTGATAGAATGTGCTGACAGCACCTGCTTAGATTTGAACCCTCTGTGACTAACTCTTATGTAATCGGTGTAGCATTGGGCAAGAGGGTTAACTGTACTGGTACTCAGCCCTCAACAGAAACAGCGCCAACGACAGCGACTTGCATTCACATAAGCGCCCTTCGCACAGGGTAGGGTCTCGGGGCGCTTAACAGTGGCAGGAGCCTGACTCCGAGGGGGGCAGAGGGGGGAGGCGATTGTAGGAGCGGTTGAAGAGGAAGGTCTTAAGGCGATTCTATAACGGATTTTGTAGATTTATCATCACCGTTGTTATTATCGTCATGATTTATTAACATGCTCCTCTTCCCTGACCATCCCGCATGTCGAGATTAATGTTTCGCGTCCTCGAGGGTGAGGCCATTCAAAAATAATCCTCGCATTTGATATCGCGTCGTCGAGCAGTCTCAAAGCGCTTCACAGAATATACTGCAAAGTGCAGTGACTGTGTGTTTTGTAGGTGAAACGTGGCAGCCAGCTGCACACAGCGGTGTCCCACAACCAGTCGTGGAACCAAATAATTATTATTTTGGAGGGATTACTACGCTAATAAACCTTGCATAACACTCGCGGTTGTTGATCAAACAGTTTTACAGATGGGGCTCCCTTCCTGACGTCTGCCTAATAAAATTAATCATAGCGGTTCTCAAAATCTCGTTCAGACGTCTGCTGATGAAAAGCGGCGTCTCAGTGTTATCACTGAGCACACGGAGTTGCATAGAGTGCTCAATGGAATAGAGCAAATAAACCCGGAATAATATTTTCAGATACACCGAGACAGCAGGATAACAAGTTCAAGTTTCGGACAACTTTGCCTGACTTCTGTGGGCAACATCAATGCATACCTCTACATTTACAACCTTTTTTTGAGATGATAATAAACTCATACGAACCATTATAGAATCATATTTTTCTCAAGCCGGAAGGGGGCAATCAGTTCATTGTGTCACCGTTCATCACCGTCGTGTCAGCTTCCTGAAAGACCTATCCATTAAATCCCCAATCCCCTGCCCTTTCCCTCTTCCAGTCTCTATTTTTCTAATTACTTTTAAAAGCAATTGTGGATCAGCTTCAACCACTGTTATTAATGCCCTAATAAATCTTTGTTTGCTCACCTCTCTCTTTGTGCTTTTTTAACAGGAGACTTTTCACCATAAGTAATATAATCCTTGCATTTGCTATGACGTCTTTCACGTTAGGAGGACGTCTCAAAATGCTTCACAGGATATAATGTGAAGTGTAGTGACTGTATTAATAATAATAATAATAATAATCCTTGCATTTGATATAGCGCTTTTCACATCGGAAGGACGTCCCAAAGCGCTTCACAGAACACACTGTAAAGTGAATTGACTGTATATTTGTGGGCGAACGCAGCAGCCAATTGCGCACAGCAATGTCCCACAAACAGTCGTAGATTGAAAATGACCAATTTATTATTGTTTTTTTTTTGGAGGGATTGTAGATATTGTAGATATAGGTATTGTAGATGAACAGCAGCCCATTTGCTCACAGTAGTGCCCCACAAACAACCATAAAGTGAATGAACAATATGAGTTACTAGTTACTAGACAATATGAGTCTTGTTGTGAGCTTGAACTCATAACCTTCTGACTCGGAGGTTTGCAACTGAGCCAGACAATACAATAAGCAGAAATATTATCAGTCATAAATACATAAAATTGCATTATGTAATGCTCTTTGGATAAAAGAAATTCCTTGAAGCACTTCACAAAATAAGATTAACTAGAAATGAACTAAATCTGGTTATGCAGGCAGTACTCAACACTCAATATCTTAAACGTGGAACCGTATATATTGCTTGAATCAAAGTTTACCTTGGTTCAGGCACTGAGAATGCTTCGAGCAATTTGTCACAGCCTTTGCAATATGTGGCATGCTAGATAAAATAGTCGTGACAGCTATCATCTTTCAAAGTATGTGAATTTAATTCTATTGAGTTGAAGGCTTTGAGTTATTGCCTCATCTCATTCTTATATTAAAATGTGAGACAACAACAGAGGCATGTGGAGTAAGAAAAATTGCAAGGAAACACGCCTGAGATTTCGCCCGCCCGGGAATCGGAGGAGAATACTTACTCTAATAATAATGTAAAATCTGTTAATTATATATCAAGCTTTGTGAGCAGCTAAATAATAGGCGGAGAGTAAATGGCATTCAAGAAGGTCGGGAACAGGCAGTACTGTTCAATGCTACCGATCAATGCTATCAAATGCTTGAGCGCACCTCGAAGGCGTTTAAATCTAAATCAAATAAAGTTATTCCAACCATACACAGATCACTCACAAAGTCACATTTATAATGCTATGTGCAATGCTGGGAACATTACCTTCAAAAGGTCTCAGTAATGGCTCAGCGAGTTGCGCTCTCACCTCTGAGTCAAAGCTTGCGGGTTCAAGCCCCACGTCAGGACTTGGAACTCATATAATCCAGACCAACACTCCAACTCAGCGCTGGGGTAGATCTGCATTTTACAAGTCACCGCTCTTAACAGGTAACATGTTAAACCGAGGTCTGCCCGTTCAAGCTGGATGTTAAAGATCCTGGCCAACAATACTTCAAATAAAATTGGTTGTTCACTTCCCGGCCGTTCGTGGAACATTGCTGCGTGCAAATTGGCTGTCGGGTTTGACTACAAAAATACGCAGTCACTACATTTTAATAATAATAATAATAATCCTTGCATTTGATATAGCGCTTTTCACGTCGGAAGGACGTCCCAAAGCGCTTCACAGAACACACTGTAAAGTGAATTGACTGTATATTTGTGGGCGAACGCGGCAGCCAATTGCGCACAGCAATGTCCCACAAACAGTCGTGGATTGAAAATGACCAATTTATTATTGTTTTTGGTTTTGGAGGGATTATTATTAGGCTCTGTGTGGAGTAAGGAAACTTGCCCAAGGTTTCGCCCTCTGCCTGGAATTGAACTCAGGTCTCTCACTTGCAAAGCGAGTGCTCTAACCACTGAGCTACAGGACTCCACTCCACAGTATAACCTGTGAAGCATTTTAGGGTAACCATCCTGACATGAAAAGCACTATTCCAAGAGTAAGGATTATGAATAATGTACAATTTTTGGAATGAGGTTGGATGGAAAACAGTGTACAATATTATTTTTTACCACTAGGTGGGAGCCATTAGTTCCGCTTCCTGAGTGTGTCTTAGTGTGGGTGTAAACCTGGCTGGCACTTCTATAACTTCTATCAACTTCTGGTACATAAATACAAAATGTAGAATATTAGCATGGGGTGGGGAAAAAAACACTTATCCCACAGAACAATTATATCAAATGCGAGGATTATTATTATTATTATTATTATTATTATTATTATTATTATCTATTCTTCATGTTAGAACACAAATGAAAAATCTTTTCCAAACCATTAAAGATGCTGCTTTCTTACAGTGGGCTAATGCGTTGGTGGTGTAAACATAATAATAAATAATCCTTGCATTTGATACAGCGACTTAGCACGTCTTCGAGACGTCTCAACGCGCTTCACAGGACACACTGTAAAATGCGGTGACTGTTTGGTGGGTGAAACGGGGCAGCCGGTTGCGCACAGGTGGACGTGCGTAGGGAATTCAACCTTAACTGTGCAATTCACAACCGGCGGAAGGGATTCCAGCCGATACAGTAATTCTTCACACGGGTTCTGAATTGCACAATTAAAGCAGGGCACCTGAAATTCCCTTCTGCACTGGTGGGTTTACACATGGGTAACACGACTCGCAGATTGGGACCCCAGTTAGCCAGGAGACAGCAGGGTGAACAATGCAAAGCTGGTCACTTTTGCTCTGTGTAGTAACCATAGAGACAATTGACGTTGGTAACCTAGGAACTGGCTGAAACGCTGCAAACAAATGTCGCAGCAACTCTTTCCCTTTAAGCCTTCATAAAACGCTACAGCAGGACTGACTGTTGTGAAAAGAATGCCTCCGACCAGAGACCCTTATCCTTTCCCGAGGTTTGAAAACGATGACGACTTCAGGGGCCCAGAAAATAAAGTCCAGGTAACGTCTCATTGCAATAGCCCGGATGTTGCAACACTATTTGGCCCTTTCACGAGTTCCCTCTGTTGCTGTCTAGTTCACTAGCTGGGTTTGGAAATAAACTCAGCATTTTCTCTGCTTGGTACAACATCACTCTTTTAGCAACCAATTCGCTAGCACTGTTAAAACAAAGCGATTTCAGCGATCATTGCTGTGCAGTGAAATGTATTATAACTTGCTACACTTTAATGGTTAGTCGTGATTAGTTGAAGTAGGGAAAAGGACAGGGTACTATATTTTGGGAATATAAATGCATAATGCGCTGGATAAAAAGCAAACGGTTAGACAGATAAAAATATTATATGTGTGTAAGTTTCTGATTGCATTGTAATACATTGTCAAGTCCTAGAGCGGTACAAAGCATTTTTAAATTGAGATTTCTTGTTATTGCATTCTGTTTTTCTCACCCCAAATTATACTATACAAGCAATGATTCTCAATAATTATTTGCAACTCTGGGGTATTGCATATTCTCTATATGGATGACTGGTGTAGGATACTGGGGCATGTGATGGGAATGACCCATCATTGTTGACAGCTCTGTCACTTCAGGGCATTTGCAAACAAGTTAGTGACGTGGGCCGGGATGCAAATGTTTCCCTTGTTTTTGTAAAGCAACAGTGCTTCATGTGTTCTTCTATTTACTCGTTGTATTTTTGGAAAGCTCGTCTCTGAACTGAATAACCCATTTTTTTTTGCTTACGATTCGACAGTGAAGTCAGAGAGTAACGTCCGTTCTGCTGACCTGAAATTCTATTTAGCCTTAGACAGTATTTGTCATTTTTGTCTGAAAGATTGTACTGAATTGTGAAAAGATTCTCTAATCCAGCCCTAACGTGGGACCAGGTTCGCTTTAAGAACATGATAAAAAGTGGTTTCTAAATTCAGACTGAATTTAAGTGTTTTTCACCATTCTGCGTAAATTTGAAGGCAAGAAGGTCTTGAGGCTGGGTTGAATTTCAGGCCACCCACATGTGCAAAGTATTGAAGGGTTAACGTCAGCTGTGGGACTGCAATCATAGTAATCCTTGCGCCTTATCATGTCTTTGAGACAAGCTCAAAACACTTCACAGGATACACTGAGTTATCACTTTCCAGAAGAGCTACCAACCAGTTGGTGAAACTCAAAGGGAAAGTTAAGTGCCCTTTGCGACGTGTGTTGATCTTTTACCATTGTAAATTACTTATAGCCAAAACGACACGGAAGACAATCTCGTTTCGTAAAGCAGGATGGCCCTTGGAATCGAGTCCACTTCAAAGAAACCATAACTGGGAGACAGGTTGGTGATGGCGTTAATCCTGTGCTGCAAAATAGTTTGAAGCCAAGCAACACAACAAGTAGCCTTGGATGCCGCCCAAAGCCCCCGCCCCCACCTCAACACATCACGCCAGTTCAAGGCAGGCTCCACTGGCTCCCTATCCCAAACGATCCTCACACTCGTCTTCAAATTCCTTCATGCCCTGGCCCCCCCTTACCTCTCCGATCTGCTTACCCCCCAATCCACTGCCTCCGCTTGACTGGCTCCGGTCTCCTCCTCCCGTGCCGTCAGTTCGACCATCGGTGATCGCGCTTTCAGCCACTACTTTCAGCCAGTCCTGAAGCTCTGGAACACTCTTCCTCTATCCCTCCTCCTTGCCCCTCCTTCCCTATCTTCAGATCCTTCCTCTTTGACCATGCCCACGGCCCCCTCTTCCCCCTTGTTTCGGCGAAATGCTCCACCGCTTACAAGCTCTCTGGGACGCTACCCTGTGTCACAGGCGCTACATAAATGCAAGTTGCTGCTGTTAGAGCTGATTTTTCTCCAGTTGGCAATAGCAGGTCTGATTTTTAGGGCCCTGGGGAAGATGAAATTCTAGGCATGTAAAGTGTCCTTTGGGTGATGACAAAAGCTTCTCATTTTCCAACACAGGTTTCTGAGAGAATGGAAGCTTTTCTGCCCGTAGTTTGCAAACAGCAATTTAGCGAATTACAGTATTTGATTATAGAATCCACTTTCGTTCGACCCCCTTTATATCCTGATTACGTGCCAGAATGTCCTTTGTGTCACTGTTGTGTGTGCATTCACTGCAAACCTTTTGATAGCATTAGGGATGAAGCATTAACAATTCTTACATAGAATTGCATAGATGGTACAGCACACAACCAGACCATTTGGCCCAATTAGTCCACACAGGTGTTTTTACTTCCCACAAGTCTCCAGCCTTCTGATAATCCCTTCTCCTCTTCTCTTCTAATTACCTTCTCTGTCATGTATGCATCAAGCCTCCTCGATTAATGCCTTAATGTTGGACGTCATGGCCAGGAAATTGAACGTGAGCTTTTCTTATAATGTTTTGGTTTGATCGATTTTGGGAGTCACAAGGTTAGTTGGGATGAAGATGACCCTTCAGGCCACCTGGTTTCATCCTTCTAGAAACTCCGCCATTCCCGTTCTCCTTGCCTCCCTTCCTAGCATCAATGTTTTTGTTTTAAATGAGTTCATGGTCTCAACCACACTTCCTAGCAATCTGTTCCATGCCAGCTTTTCTCCCAGGAGATGGAATGAGAAGGGAAAAGTCCACGATAGGGGCAAGTTTTGAATGGACTGTGAATGGAGTGGGCGCGATGGGCCAAATCACCCTTTATCATTACACGTTTTCTTAAATTCCTACAATCTTGGTCAAGATAGAATTCAACCATCTTGTTATTTGCTCCCAACCCTGGAGACAGGAGTGTGCCCGGAAGGGAAGAAAAGTCTTCACAACAAGCAAAGGATCATTGGTTACCTGTATGACCGTAGTTTTTTTGCACCATTAGCGTATCAGCACATATGGATAACTAGTTTCCTGGGGGTCAAGAGATGCCTTTTAAGATTACTAAAAAGCTAAATAGATCGAACATGTGCTGGCTCATTTACATTGGTGATACTTTCACCCGTTACCGACTGAAAAATAGATTGTTCCCATAATAAGTCTATTGACAATTGCCTGCCTAGTCCCAATTGGCAGAAAAAGCATGCCTTTTCTTACGAACACTTATGGAATGAATTATTTTTAATGACTTAACATCTAAAACATATTTTACAATTGAATGTGCATTAAACGCACAGCAGAGGAACATAAGCGTGCGGAAGATTGCTTTACTTTCCAATGTGTGATGAATGCTTTATTTTTCTCCGGCATATGATTTACAAGCTTAGTTACTTCCTTCATACATAGTTTTGAAGGATACGTTGTCGTAACAGGCACCAAGAGACAGTTTGGATATCCACCTTAGTTCTGTTTACGATCATAACAATGACTTTTTGAAAAAGAAGAAAGATGTCGTTTATCAAAAGGAGTCCTGTGTTCCTTATGGGTAAGTCTCTTCGTATCAAAGTGCGTCTTATTTCACTTCATTTTAATCTAAATACATTTGATCAAGTTAAGCCATTAAGTTAGAAGTGGCTTTTCAGTTAAGGGGAAAAACAACATAATTCAAGCTTTAGACAAGCATCGGGGGACTGGGAGTTATGGAAAAAAATGTATAAATCATGTTAGCAGCAGAATTTAATTAATTATAACGCTTTCTTAATCATTACTTGGCGAGGGCATGAATAAGACAAACTGGAACTCACAATTCTTTAACAAAGTAGATCATGCCAGACATTGAGGTGACAAAGAAGAGAAATGCTTTATGCATTCAGTTCCTTATTACATTAGCTGGCTTGCCAAAAAACGGACTGGGTGCAAAATCCGAAATTAGGTTCTAGTTTTTTAACAATAATAATAATCCTTGCATTTGATATAGTGCCTCATTACATCCTCTAGATATCTTAAAGCGCTTCGCAGAATATGTACTGTAAAGTGAATTGACCGTATATTTGGTGGGCGAAACTTGGCAGCCAATTGCCACAGCAGTGTCCCTCAAACAGTCGTGGATTGAGTCACCAAATTATTATTGTTTTTTTTTTCTTGAGGGATTATTATCAGGTGTGTGGAGTAAGGAAACTTGCCCAAGGTTTCGCCCAGCCGGGAATCGAACACAGGTCCTCTTGCTTGCGAGGCGAGTGCTTAATGTTATTAAACAACCTGTTGCACTATTGCCTCTTTAATAAAATTAAAAAACATTCCCTTGAAAATTCTTGTTCTGCTCAATTCTTGTTCTGCTACAGGTGGAGTCCTGTAGCTCAATGGTTAGAGCACTTGCCTCACAAGTGAGAGACCTGGGTTCAATTCCCGGCAGGGCGAAACCTTGGGCAAGTTTTCTTACTCCATACACACGCCTCTGTTTACCTAGTAGTAAGTAGGAACCTGGTTGTTAGTCGATTGACGGATTGCTTTTCCGGGAGTAATAATCCCTTCAAAAAAAAATAAATAAATTGGTCACTCAATGCATGACTGTTTTGTCCAATTGGCTCCCACTTTTCCCCCACAAAATTTACAGTCAATTCACTTTACAGTATATTCTGTGAAGTTCTTTGAGACGTCTTGAAGACGTGATAAGACACTATATCAAATGCAAGGATTATTATTATTATTATTAATTGGCCCACCTTAAGAATGTTTAGGGATCATTGAGAAGTGGAATTGGGATCCACTTGGACTGATGTGCTTACACTGCAAAACTGAAACCATCTCCTTAAGGTGATCAACAAACAGGCCCAGTTGTGTGAGTCAAAACGTAAAACATGCAATATAACACTCCACCCACAATGGATACCTCCATTATCAATGTAAAAACTATAACTTATTTATATGATGCACTGTTTAATTTACAGAGGATGTAAGTTCATGAAGAAGGCAGGAGTTCGGGAAGAGTATAACATTTATGATGAAATCAACCGGGAAAAATATCCTGATGTTGGATTAAAGTTGGAAACGTCATCTGTTCATCTACGGGCAAAAACTCCCCCAAGATGCTGGGTGGCACCAAGAAGAGAATCCTTTCAAAGTGTAGAAGGATCAATAGGTAAGATATCAGTTCATCACAAGATTGGTTTGGGTCAAGAAAGCCTATTCATCTTATCCTTCCAGGGTACCCATCCCTTCACTCTTTCCCACCACCAACAAAAACATTTAAACACTGTCTTATTCAATTTGGAAGCGAGCTTCCTGCGGTTCTTTATTAATAAAAAATTCCAAATTACAACTTAACTTTAAGAATCTTTTATCAAGAGGGTCTCGCCACCAAAATACACAGTCAATTCACTTCACAGTATATTCTGTGAAGCGCTTTGAGACATCTCGGAGACGTGATAAGGCGCTATATCAAATGTAAGGATTATTCTATATCAGCTAGGACACTGGAAACACCCTACTCTTTGAATAGTTTCATGGAATCTTTAACATACTCTTGAGCAGTGTTCCCCACAGTCAAGCAATATAGTTGTGCTGGCAGTCGTTGTCTGGAATCACATGTGTAGGTTGACTACTGAAAACAAGGTGTAAGAGATCTGTTGGGATACATGGAATCATGCTCAGGATCAGTCACCTTCTTCCGAGTGAATTAAAGAAAATAAGCGGAGGGATTGTATTCTTCGGCAACGTTTCACATTCCTTTCTATTTTTGTCCTCAGGTACTCAGCACACAGCTGCCACCAACAAGGGATACTCAAGGAAGTTTGACGGAGGATACTTTTTTTCCTAAACTGCTTGAAGTTTCAGCAACAAGATCTTACCAAGATTCCAGTTAAGGCTCATCACCGCTCAGCTACAGCATAAGATACCATAGTATAGAGTCAATTAGAAGCATCGTTACTAAGTAGATTCTTAGAAAATAGGGTCAGAATAGGGTCTTAATCATTATTGATGCCACAGGGTAATAAATAGTTGCAGTAATACAAAATGATGGTTTTGTACATTTGTTATGTTTCGATTTTTATTCCAAATCTGTACAATTAATTATGGGCAGACAGGATCTTGGTTTAACATCTCATCTAAAGGATGGCACCTCCAACAATGCAGCAATCCCCCAGTACTGCACTGGTGTGTCGTCACATAGGTTAAAGTCTTGGCACTTTACAAAGATGTGGTGAGAAAGCGAGCAAGGGAGAAGGAGGCGAGGAAGTAGCCGTATGGGAGAAGTGACCAAGAGGTTGATTTTAAGGTAGGACTTAAAAACAGATAGGGAAGGCAGTGGGGGCCTTCGAGTGGGTGAAGGGATTTATAAATGAGGGAAGGAATACTGATACTGAACTGTTGGGAAAGAGGGATTCATTGGAGTATGTGAAAGGTGATAATATTAAATGCAAGGATTATTATTTCATTATGACTACAGTATTATTATCTACAGTCTTGCATCTGTTCAGCATTTGAGAGCTATTCTTGTTTCAAGCACTCCGGGACGCTACCCTGTGTAAAGGGCGTTATATACATGCAAGTTGTTGTTGTAGTAATTACAGGAACTCCGGTGAATGTTATTAAATCATTCCATAAGTCATACCTTGGGGCTGTCTTGCACCCTGAAATAACTAAGAAATAAAAAAACTCAAAAGATAAATATGTGTCTGTGTTTGTTCCTGTTTTATAAATAGTTCTGGAAACAAAACAAAGTTGAATATTGTCTCAAACAATTAAATTATTCCCTCTATTTTGATCTTTATTCCACATGCCTCCTTCACTGCATTCATTTACAATCATCTTGTTTTGGTCAGCTGGGTGTCTGCCACGTGCGGAAACACCACGCTTAAGAGTATCCAAACCAAACAGAGTTCCATGCATCCCACCTACACGTGGATATTCCTGAGAAATTCATTGGAATAGAATGCACGCTCTCTCCCCGGGGGGATGCATCCTGCTTACCTAATTCCGGAGAGTTTTAGGCACAGGTTGGCAAAAGCCAAGGCTTGAGGACCCAAGTGTGTGTCGAGGGTACTGCTGGATCCAACCAACTAAAACCGCATAGCTTGCCATTAGTAACACTGTGTGGCAAGCTTTCCTGATGCTTGTCCAGCTAGGACCAAACAACTAGTTAGGGCTTTGGCTTCCAGGATTAATAGGAGCTGAATGGGAAGAATCCCTGCCCCAGTAACTGTTGTATCTCTTGTTAGGACAATAAGTCCTACCCATGAGCCAGGCTAGCTGGGCTGCCATCAGCAGTGCCATGGAGAACTGTGAATCCAACTTGGATCCACTTCAGCTCCAAAGTGACCCCACTTACCTCCCTCCCAGGAAGGTTTGGTCACTGGTTTGCAAATGTCCAATTGAAAGCATTGACCAGAAAACACTTGATATGCTTACCTCATAATGCAACTTCAATGACTCGGGGAGACACAGTAATGTATAATGACCCTAAAGGTAAGCACAGTTTGACTGTTAATTAGCATGATAAGTTCTGCTTAACCATAAGGGGAAAGCTAGTCTCCACTAGTTACTTTAGAAATTGATTGAAACTGTAATCAACCTTGGATGTCCTACCACAATCTCAAGACCTATTGGAAGGAAAAGGAGCCTCGTGTGTCCATCAGTTTCTGGACTGGAAATTTGAAAAGTGGGTTAAAAAGTGGATCAAGCTCTCGTGTGGTGTAATACTGAACTGTGCAGACCAGGAAGATGTCAGTTTCAAACCCTGGTCTGTGTTGATTTAACTGATCTCAGCTTGGGTAGCAATATGAGTGTTACAATTAGCCTCATTGGTCCTGGGCTAGGAAAGGGATATGATGTGGTTTCTTCCTCTTCTTGTCATCCAGTGACTCCTGCTGGAAAGTGCATGTGTATGGACTTTTGAATAAGAACAGGATCAGGCTCAATGTGATAGCCTCAGATTCGATGCCGCTAACCTCCCTCTGCCCCTTCGCCTTGTTCCCTCTGTATCCGTCTTCAAGCCCTGCCTTAAAATTTACCTCTTTGTCCGTTATTCTACGTGAGGGGCTCCGAGATGCTATTCTACGTGAAGTATCAAACCGATTTGTGCTTTAGATCGAAGAAACCCCATTGGAGATCCTTATTGGTCAAAAGTGCAAAGGCGATGCACAACGCTTTGGGTCTCAGGAGTTGGTATCTTGTGCAAAAAAAGGAAAGCGGTGTAATTCCGTAAATGTCTTCTTTTATACCCCCACCCCCCCAAAAAAAAAACAAATAACAATCCTTGCATTTGATACAGCGCCTTATCACGTCCTCGCGGCGTCTCAAAGCGCTTCGCAGAACGTACCGCGAAGAGAATCGACCGCGTGTCTGAGTGGCCGAAACGCGGCGGTCAACTGGGACCGAAGTGACCGAATTTTATTATTTGTTTGAAGGAATTATTAGCTCCCGCGCCCCAACCCCTCCCCCCCCCCCCCAACCCCCCCGCAACCTCCCCCCGTCCCCACCACCACCACCGCCGCTCGGGGGGGGGGGAAAAAATGAATTAATCTTTTAAAAATTTTAATTAAAAAATTACATTTTAATTTTAATTAATTTTAATTAAAAAAAGTGAAATGAGGTACAGTGCCCCAAATGGAAATGATGAATCCCCCCCAATGGGGTTTGGATTGAGAGAGGAAAGTGGGAGGTGGTGGAGTGGGGGGGGGGTTGGAGCGTTAGGCTCCATCTAGCGGCGAGGAGCGGGTACTGCACCGCACTTGGTGAACACGGGGATGGAGAAGGGGGAGGCTCTCGGTGGTGGGATGGCGTGCGTGCGTGCGTCTGCGTGCGTCTGCGTGCGTGCGTGCGTGCGTCTGCGTGCGTGCGTGCGTGCGTGCGAGACGTTAAGAGGAGCCGGAGGTGCGCCTGCGCGGAGAGAGCCCGCCTTTCCCGGCTCAGACATGAGCTCCCGAAAAGGTGAGAGGCGTCGGAGAGAGGGAGTGTGAGAGAGAACGAGTGAGAGAGAGAGAGAGAGAGAATGAGTGTGTGTGTGTGTGTGAGAGAGAGGGAGAGAATGAGTGTGTGAGAAACACCCGCTCTAACCCGTGTCCATTTTTCTTTCTCCCCTCCACCTCCCTCCCTCCTCCTCTTCTTCACCTTTTTTTCCTTCTCTCTCTCTCTCTCCATCCCTCCCTCCCTCTCCCCCTCTCCCCCTCTCTCTCTCCCTCCCTCCCTCCCTCCAGTCCTCGCCCTGCAGGCGCGCAAGAAGCGGCCGAGAGGCAAGAAGGAGAAGCTGCTGAAAAAGTGAGTGGACGCCTTTCTCTCCCCCTCCGGACCGTCCCCCTCCCCCTCCTCCCCCCTTCCTCCCCCCTCCTCCTCGGCTACGGGGAGGAAATCGAGGCCGGGGATGTGAAGCGCGGAGCCGAGGCCTAGTCGGGAGGTTTACACCCCCCCCCACACACACACACATATATACATTATATATATCTGTGTATATATAATTATATGTGTATATATTATATGTATATATAATATATCTATGTATGTGTGTATATATATTACACGTTGTATATGTTATATCTATTATATATCGTGTGGATATTGTATTGTATGTGTACCATTTTCTTAAATAGATATAATTTGAGTATATACTCGTGTGTGTGTGTGTGTGTATATATATAGGAAAATGGTATCATTCTGTAAAATGTCTGTTTTATACCATTATATGTGCACATGTATATAATTATACAAATTTGTAGTTGTGTGTGTGTCTGTTATATATAGTTGTGTGTCTATATATATATATATACAACTACAAAATTGCTCCCACCAAATCTACAGTCCATTGACTTTACATTGTACAGTGTAAGTTATATCCCGTGAAGCGCTTCGAGACGTCTCAACACCGAGATAAGGCGACGTTTGCAAGTAATAACCCTTAAAGTAATAATAATAACCTTTGCATCAAATGCAAGTTTTTTTTTATTACAAACCAAAACATATTTAAGATACATATGTGTGTATGTCTTAAACTTAAATATGTCTCGTAGGATGCAGTTTGTAATCTGTTTATTTGCTGTATTTATACAAATACATGTGTATGAAAAAACTACAAACTGCGACCCATTTAAACGTGAGACACATTAATAATCTATCATTTGTAAATAGTTTTAAAAAAAATTTAAAAGCAGGGTGGGGAACAAAGAGAAAGAAAGAGTGTTCGCTCTTGTTCTGTGAAAAGTGTCACCACATCCACCAAAATGTCCCCATCCAGGTGGCGTCTTGGTGGGAAATCTTCTATTTTTGTGCATGTGTTTTTTTTAAAACAAAAGACATTATTAATTAATTTTTTTAACTTTTTCTTACCTGCACGTGCATGCCCATTAAAAACACACATTCCTGTGGCTTTTGCATGTACGTTTCCTAGTGAAGTGCTTTGAGACTTTGTACTCAGTGTCAAATGGTGTTTTATCGAATGCAAGTATTATAATTTATTAATTTTTGGGCTGGCACTTAGTTAAGAGATGCGAGTGCTGCTACCACTGGTTGTACTCTAATGGGAATTTTGTTTTATTCGAAACTCAAAGGGAGTTCCTCCTGGTGACCAAGCCGACTATTTCCTCCCTAGATAAAGATCAAACGACTGTTAACTTCATAACTGTTTGTGGGATATTACTGTGCTCAGATTGGTGGCTGTGTTTGCTTACAAATTCACAGTTGCTCCACTTTACAGTAAATCCTTTCAAACAGTTTGAGATGTCCTGATGCCGAGGTGCTATATCAAAAGCCAGGATTAAAAAAAAATTGAAACTTTTTAATTTGGGGAAGAGAGTTTGAAAGGTTCATCTCCATTCATCAATTTGGAAATTGAACTAATGGAAAAGGGAATGGAAATTAAGGGAAAGCAGTGTTTTAACCTTGGAAGTTGGTATATTTTTAAAATTGTAGCCATTGATATTTTTTGTGTGACGTCTGGGAAAGGGAACCCACAATTCTTGACTAATGAAGATTAGTTTAGTGTTTGTCAGTATTTCCTTTTAATGCAGAGAACTTTATTTTGAAACTCCCTTTTAATCTGAAGATTTATTGCAAGTCCTTCGTTGCAGTGTCTATGACCCCAGTGTCGCATCGTTTGCTAGTTCAAAATGTTGGTCTTCTGTAACGAAAATCCTGACAACTGATTTTTGTGCTCGGATATCTGGAGATGCTGCCCTAATATTGGAGAATCAAAATGGAGGATTTCTGTACATCGGTCTGGCTGTATAGTTAACCTTTGTTTGTTTGTTACCTTAACCCTCCCCAACCTGAGAGAACTATCGAGGGGGTTTCCTCCAGAGATTAAATCTATTTATAATTTTTTTTGTGTGTGGGACAGTATCTGGAAACAAAGCTGGTTTCTAAGGGCATGACATCATAAAAGCAGTGATATCACAAACAAATTCAACTGATTGATTGAGAGTGCAAAAAAAACCTGGGAGAAACCGGTTTAAAAAAAAATCTGTCAGAAATAGTGCACACTGGATCATTTCTCGGTCAGTTTTGTGGTGTGATTACATATACGCAAACGTGTATAATGCCTTGTGAGGCTAACGAAAAACTGCTTGTGACTTCATCGATGAATTCCTCAATTCTGGAGGCGATCGTTAAGAAACCAAGTTGTACTACATTCAAGTTGTGCAGTTTCTAACAGGCGCCTGACCCACTGCGGGCTCGATTTTTTTTAAAAAAAAGCCAGTCTTCATGAAAATTCAAGGTCTTCATGCTTCTGATTGAAAAGATGGAATCCACTTGAATTAATTTAGGATTTTGTAATTAAAAAAAAGTTTTTGAAGCAAGGCAAAGCCTGCTACTGTGCATGCAAACTATCAAGAGGATGAAAGTATAAAACCAATATTGTCTTGGTTTGAACAATAAACTGACCTGATTTTTAAGACAGAACCCTCCACAATATGTACTCTTAATGTATTTATCTCAGCACGTCATATTATGCCACGTAATGAGACGGACGGATGACTCCTAGGGTTGAAAATAGAGGTTATTGCGTCTTGCTTATTCTGCATGCTGAATGTATGAGACAAAAAATTACACTGAGTGAGACATCTCACATTCATGAAGGCTCACAATAGTGCTACTTGTTGGTGCTGTTCTTCCGTAGTTTTCTCTCATTCTGCAAGCATTTAATTTTCCGACCAGCCCAGCTTTACCACATTGAGTTACAATATTGTACCCATCAATGAATTCTTCTTAATTGCAACATATATTTGCTTTCAGGTTGAGAGGGCAGATATGTGTAATGCACTCTGAAGCCGCTGTCTGTGTAGTTACAACTGGCTGCTGAAAAGAACTGCTACAGTTGGCTTCAGAATAGCTGACGGGCTTCTATCTGGTGTCTGTTCATCTTCTATTGTGAAGCTCGTGGTGTTTATTCAGCCCCTTGCACTGACGGTATAAATGAAATTGTGACAATTGGTGTGTTTGGTATCTGAGTGAGAGTGCAGGTGCAAATTTCAAACTACTGGAAGTCCAGCGGTTCTATTGAACGTACTATCAAAGAGCTTCACTGCTCTTAATTCCAGTGCACGTGTGGTGAAATTGGATTTTTTTTAAGGAGATCAGCTCATAGGGCTCGGCTCCTGGGTCATGTAAGAATGTGTCAAGTGAGCCACTATTTTGACTCCAGTATCTTACGTACTGTCCTGTTCTTGTAGTTCCTTTTTAGATGGGTTGAATAAGTCCTTTAATGGCTCATGGGATGGAGTGGAACTCAAGGGGGTTGCAAAATTGTATTGTTGTTTGTTTACTAGGAAATAGCTGGTGTCATCCACCCTGTCTGAAACGTTGATTGGAAAAGCTGTTTTTATTGCATTAGTTGGTGTGAGTTTTTGGGAACTGATAGTTATTTCAATAGTTATTAATTCAGTTGTCAAATTTTAGCAATTTAATTCAGTTTAGCCATTTGCTAGTTAATTACTGGCAATACGTTTTTTTTTGGGGGGGGGTTGAGGTTACCTAAATGAAATGAGTGACATGTTCAGCTCAGTCAATAACACTTTTGAATGTTAACTTTTCTAATTAACTGATTCCAGAAAAGGAAATCAATCTGGAGTTCCAGCTGTAACTCTCTAATATGTATCAGAAATACTGACAGTGAATCGTGGCTGTGTGCAAGCGTGATAAAGTAAAGCAATCAAAATTAAATCTCCAGCCACCATTGGTTTCCCTGGGTTTTGGCACTGGTACTTTGGAAAGATGGGATAACTGCAGTTGTCTTCCTGACCATGCACTTATTTTAAAATTGGGAGAAATTAAGGGATATAAAACAAGCTTGATGTGGTTAATCTCGTTATTTTAAAAACCAAATTAAAGAGAAAAATGTAGCCAACATATTTTTCTCGTACTAAATGAAGGAGATGTAAATTGATTTTTGTAAAAAAAAAACATAATTCCAGATATACTTATCGTGGTTCCCATCCTTTTTTTGACCTTGATTGTCAGCCTGAAAAGTTTCAGCTTGTTCCCAAGAGTTTGTTATTTCTCTAATCCTTCATAAAAATTCACTCAAACAGTTGACATATTTTATGTTAGTTCTATTGCCCCTTAGGTCCTGGTACAGAGGAATTTTCCCCCATCGATATTGTGGAGCCAGAAATAGCTGCAATTTGCAACCTTAATGCAACTGCTTGTATGATGCGGCAGAATCTGATCTACAGCGTAAATGGCCATGGAACTACTCTGCCAACCAGCCACTGACAAATTGTTGCTGACTAGTACAGCCAGTCAGAAAAATGGCTACTGTTTCCTGTGGTGGCTACTGCGGAAACATTCGTCAAAGCACGTTGCTGTATTGTGAAGAACATTTCAAGGTGCAATGAGAGCAATGGAGACTTACAATACAAAACAAAGTTACATTTGCATAGCGCCTTTTGCGTCGGGAGGACGTGCCGAGGCGCTCAAGAAAAATCCCTCAGAAATTACGACAAATGGCTCAACTCAGTTAGATTTTGATTCTTCTGGTACTGTATTTTAGTCTATACTTTTGTTGCTGTGATATTTTTCACGGTCTCCATAAATTCTCACCATCTTTCAATATTTTAGCACAGTGAGGTTCTGCCATTTTAGCTTTGAGTTACTGATCTACATCCAAGTAAGTGTGCAAAACAGGGAGCGGGAGGTAATTTCCTTCTAATTCTGAAATCTGTTTTGACGGTGGTGAATTTTAGACATCGCTTTAGATGTGCTCAAAATTCATGTTTCCATCTTGTTTTCCTTTAAATGTTAAAACTTAACTCTTGCCCCTACTTTTT